AGAGAAGGCGGGAGAGAGGGCTGGTGGAGGGATGTTTTGATGGGCTGCAGACTGATGGAAGCCCTTCATCCTTATCCATTCCTTTCCTGTTACAACTTGTTTAAAAAGAAAAAAGAAAAAAAGAAAAAGAACCACCACCACCAGCAACAATAAAAACCCTCATATAAAGAATAAGGCCATCCATGGCACAGGATTAATAATCTCAGTAGTACCATGAGACATCTGCCTACATGCCTAAGGCATGGGCTTAGAGTTTCCAGGTCAACCCAAAGACTAAGGGCATGGTAAGTGGGCTGCAACCAGTTCCAGCCATGACGACGGCTTAACTTTAAATTTATCTGTCTATCTATCTATCTGTCTGTCTGTCTGTCTGTCTGTCTTCCTTCCTTCCTTCCTTTTTTCCTTCATCTCCTCCCCCCTTTTCTTCTTGGAGACAAGGTCTCTCTATGTCATCCTGACTAGCCTAGAGCTCTCTGTGTAGACCAGGCTGGCCCCGAACTCATGAAGTTCCTCCTGCCTCTGCCTTTCAAGTTCTAGGATTAAAGATGGGTGCTGCCATGCCTGGCTTTCTGCATTACTTTCTTTGGAGAGTAAATAATTATGTCACTATTTTTTATTTTAAAATTTTATATACTGTGTGTGTGTGCATTACTGTATATGTATGTATATGTGTATGTCTGTGTGTTTAAGTGTATGTGTATGTATGTGCGTATATGTGTGTGGCGGGGGGATGTATTTGCAACAAGTGCCTGGTCAGAGGAGAACATGCAGAAACAGTATTCTTTTTATCATGTGGATTCTAGGGTCAGAACCCACCAGCTGAGCATGAAGGCACATGACTGGAATCCTTGCAGTGAGGAGAATAGTTTTAGGATCAGCCTGAGCTACAGAGCAATTAAAAATAAAACAAAATCAAATCAATCAAAAAATAAAACAAAACAGAAAGAAATAATTAAATGGGCACAGGCATATTTGAATTTTGGTCCAAAGAGAAAGTTTGAGTGACATTAATTGAGCCTATCAATTGAAAAAATAAGAAGATAAAATTTATCTCCTGAACAAAACCAGAAAAAGGCCACAAATCTACCAATTTTGAAAACCTTAGCTTAGCTTAGCTAGGAGGTGATGTTTTCTTTGGGTGTAGAACATGTTGTGCGGGGGGGGGGGCTCCTTTTTCCCTATCTGAGCAGCTTTTAGATGTCAGCTGTAAGCAATGTCACAAGAGCTTTATTTTATTCAAGAAAGTATTGAATGCTCAAAGATGTACGTCTGCAGTTGGGGTGTGTGGCTGCTGTGTCGAAGCCTTGAGTCACACTAATCTCCAACTGTCCCATCACGACAGAGAAACTGGAGGGGAATTCATATAAAAATCCCTTCACTGTGATGCGCTCATAGATGAGAACACCCTGCACTAGGTGAAGGTGGCCGCTCACATGCCTTTTGCAGAGGGTGGACATAAGTTCTGGCTGGCTGAAGCCAGAGCTATTTCTAGGGAGAGACTGGAAACATACCTTTTACTTCTTTCCCCCATTCTTCTTTTTGTAACCAGCCTGGTAGGGATGAGAAGACTCCAAACTGACACATGTGTCTTTTGGTTTGGCTAATAGCCAGGTGAAACCACGGACTCCAAGAAACTAGACTCCTCTACCTCCCCATCCCACTTCCTAAGGCACTTCGTGAACCAACCAGCGGGAGAACCTTTCTCCACAAAGTCTGCAGCCTACCAGACCACCTGAGAGAAGAGTCAGCGGTGGGTGGGACCACACCTTGATGGAGATTGCTTAGCTCTGCATAACTCTGGCCCACTGAACTTCATGTCAGGACTCTAAAGAAAGCCTGGAAGGTTCACTGAGACTCTTTGTCCCTCTTCTCAGTGTGGCTACATTGAACAACTCTTCCCTTTCTCTGCATTTCACTACTAATTTGGTGGCTTTGACTTATGGAGGATGGAGTGAGCAAATCCGGCTTGTTGTGGCTGTGGCTCTTATGTAATGTAAGGGTTGGCTCTGCTTAGATGAGTTCATCTGGAGGAAGCACAATTTCCTTGCTTCTGTTCTGCATAGGTATAAGTAGATACTGAATGCTCGGAGACTGCTCTTCTCTCAAGGGATGAGCTCTCCATTTATTTTTGAAGCAAATGTGAACCAACAATTCATGCCAAGATTATGAACTATCAATGTGCATAGCAGAAAAGTTTCTGGGCTTTTCATCCACCAAGCTACCATTCACTCATCCATCTATCCACAAGCTGTTCGGTCATCATCTACCCAACCTTCAACCATCTATTACTATCCAGTTACCATCCACCATCTATCATCCATCTATTTATCCACCCATCATCTACCCAACTATCTATCTATCTATCTATCTATCTATCTATCTATCTATCTATCTATATATGGATGGATCAATGGATCTATTTATCCATCCATCCATCCATCCATCCATCCATTCATTATTCATTATCTGTTTATCCACCTACCATGCATTATCTGTCCATTGTTTGAAAAAGTTTGTTTTTGTTTCTTTTGCAGCAGAGTCAACACACAGCCCAGGCTGACCTCTAAGTCAATATGTGCCAAGGCTGGCCTTGAACTCATGATCCTTCTATTTCTACTTCCCAACTTCTGGGATTATAGGCATGTGCCACAACCCTAGATTTATTACTATTACTTTATTAATTGATGGAACAACTTGAGTCTAGAGAAAATGAGCGTGGCCAGAAGACCCATATAGCAGGAGTCAGAGAATCAGTTTCTTTGGTTACTTGTTTCTTTTCTTAGAAGTAAAAAAGAAGAGGCAAGATCAGGTAGGGGGTGAGAGGGACTAGAGATATGGTTCAGAATTTCCTCTTCTTCAAGAAGACCCAAGTCTTCCCAGCACCGTCATCAGGTGACACACAACTGGTTTGGTTGTTTTTGTTGTTGTTTTTTGAGACAGGATTTCTCTGTGTAATAGCTGTCCTGGAACTAACTCTTGTAGACCAGGCTGGCCTTGAACTCACAGAGGCCTGTCTCTGCCTCCCAAGTGCTGGGATTAAAAGCGTGTGTCACCACTGTCCCGCCAGGTGGCTCATGACTTGTGAATTCAGATCTATGGGCTGCACTGCCCTCTGGACTCTGAAGGCACCTGCACACACGTGGTATACACTCTCACACAACCTGCACACACGTGGTATACACTCTCACACAACCTGCACACACGTGGTATACACTCTCACACAAAGACTTATGAATAAAAATAGAAACAAACCTTTCAAAGAAGAGAGGGAGTGGGAGATACTTCCCAGAGGCCTACACTATTATGGGTTAATTTTTGTACAGTAGTGAATTCCAGGAGTGTCTGTGTCCTTGTTTCAGTTGTAAGTCACTTTCAAGGTCTCCCAGTACCAGTTGGGAAGACAGTGATTAAGTAAGACCACGAGACCCTGCAGGCAAGTAGGAGGTTTGTTCATGGTGTACACACCCCAACACCATGGTCTATAACCCTGGGTCCTTAGGTTGAGTAAGAAATAGACTGTTTAGGAGAAGGCAGCTGAGGCTGAAGGAAGAAAGCCCCTCCCAGGAACCACACTGGGAGAAGGGTGAACTCAACCCTCAGGTGGCAGTTTATTGCTTTCTAGAGAAGCTGGTGGAAGAGCTTCCCTGTTCTCAGCTGGGCCTGCGGTGTGAGTTACGAATGTGCTTCTTGTTTTGTTCTTACCAGAAAAAGTCCCAGTTCCTTCATCACCCACTTCCTCTTTATCAAGCCAGAACGACCTCGGCAGCCCTGCCTCCCATCCTAGGGCTGTCTGTGTGCTGTTTCTCTTTCTGCTTTGCCCTCTGCTTTAGTTTCTGGGCTGGAATGGGACCAAGGTCAGGGTGCACTGGGCTCTCTAGGAAGCCTGCATTTTTGTAAGACTCAAATGAAGGAATTGTGGTGTGGGATCCTTCAGTCTCTTTCATCCGATCACACCCACTCCCACAGTCTCCACAGGCCCAGCTCTGGCCCAGATCCACTTCTGCAGACACTCTTAATGCCTGCCCTTGAGATGCTCTGGGAAACAGCCCCAGTCTCAGGGACTCTGATCTACTTTGCCAGGCCTGTTCTTCATCCACCTAAATTACAGCGGCAGTGAAGATAAAAAAAAGAAGACAAAATAAAAAGTCATTTTTCTCTTGCCCAAACATCGAAATTCTTTGAGCCTTTTATTTTCTCCATCCTTTCTCTTTTCTTTCTTTCTCTGATAACGATGAATAATGGGTCCTGTCGCTGTGTTTATTGGCTTAGCATTTGGGGTCAGAAGAATGTAAATGTGACCCTAAGAAAAAATACATTTGGAGCGTGAATTAGATTATTCCTTTCATTTAAAAAAACTCCAGTTATATGAAGAAGAAAGGGTCTGTTTGACTCCCTGAGAGGAGCGTGAAGTACAGAGCCGAGAATCTGCCTGTGTGGGTTAGCCTCTCGGGATTGGGGTGAGACAACTCTTTGGGGCCCATTTTAGTCAGGTTAACTTTAAATGGCTCTGCTTCAAACCAATGAGCTGTCTTATTAAATGTATTTACATTTGAGTCAGGCTGTGTTATCAGTATTTTACTCATTAACTGACATTACTCCTCTTTCCTGCCAAATGCTCCCTGTGAGGTGTGCTTCGCACACTGCTCCCCCTCGCCCATTTTCTCCCCGGCCGGCTTATGATCTGTCACTCCTCCTCGTCCTTCTGCCCCCACTGTGTTCTTTCTCCGTGGGCCTCGCCTAGGCTTTGGCACAGTGCCATTTCATGTCTCCTCCTTTCTTCCGGGCCTGTGCCTTCTTCGGTCTCCAGTGGCCTTCTCTTCTGTACAGAGCTGTCCACCTCTGGGCTGTTCTCAAGAGCTTGGCTCTGGCCTCTAGACTTTGCTCTGTGTATTGATCTTGGCTGAGTAGTCTATCTCCAACTGTCAACATTATTTATTCTTTCTCAAGTCCACATTCCCCCTAACCTACTCCCTTTGAGGTCCAGGCCAGCATTTGGAACATCTGTGACCATAGATTTGTTTCGATCTGGCGTCTGAAGCTCAGCAAAACCCCTGCGAATCCCACCTGCAAGTCCCTCCGTCCTTCAGCTCCTCTGCTGGGGGCAATGAAAGGTTTTGGATTTGGAGATTTGGAGCTAAGGGGAGCACTGAAGCCAATTTTCCTTTGGGAAAGATGGTGTGTGTGTGTGTGTGTGTGTGTGTGTGTGTGTGTGTGTGTGTGTATGTGTGTGTGTGTGAGAGAGAGAGCGGGGGAGGGGGGAGACTAACATCCTAGATGGACTGACAGCCACGTGGCAGATGGGGGCTCTGAGAAGGATCTAGGCCCAACCATAAACATGCAAACAGCATGGTGGGGCCTCTGAAGAGAGTTCAGGCCCACAGGGCAGTCCTGGACTTCTTATACATCTCAGAGAACGGTGGAGGTTTCATGTAGCCAGGCTGTCTTGAATCCTGGGCATCTGGGGGAGGAAGGAGAATTCCAGGAGTAGGAATGTGTGTCCCCGAGGAGGTGGGGGAAGTGAGGAAGAGGAGTACCTCCTATGGAGGTGCACCTGGCCTATGGGTAGCAGGGGAGACGCCCTGGCCTATGGGTAGCAGGGGAGACACCCTGGCCTATGGGTAGCAGGGGAGACGCCCTGGTCTATGGGTAGCAGGGGAGACGCCACCACCAGTTGCCTTCTTGCGACCCAGGGGATCTGGCAGCCTGAGGTTCCTGTGAAATCTGTGCCGGTGGAGTCCACTTACAGACTCATGGACAGTAGGGTGTTTCTCCTGTAGCTCTAGTGGCAGGGATCCCAGAACCGGCTGTGAGAAAGGCAGTAAAGAGGTTGTGGCTGGGCATTGGCTTGAGTGGTGTCTTGTTTGGGGTCCTGACAGGTACTAACATTTCCTCTCCCATCACCAGCACTGGAAGGCACAGAGCCTTCCCTCTTTGACCTCATTTCTTGAAATTTGTTTTTTTTTTGGGGGGGTGGCAGTGCTGAGGATCAAATCAAGGCCTTGCACTAGCTAGCCAAGCGCTCTGCCATGAAGAAGCCACATATCAGCTTTTCCCTGGATATTCAACTCCAAGGGACTGTGGGCTACGACCCTCCTTCCCCATGCCATCCCACCCTGGGTTGGCTCAGAGTTTGGCATACCAGAGGTCTGTACGCATTTGCCTAACGACTAAATGTTCCCTTTTGTTATCTATGCGCCCTCATGCGTCAGTCAGACTCCTGTCCACCAGAGAGTGGGTGGTGTGTCTGCAGAGGCTGTTCAGAGTGTTTCGGAGCTGAGCTGTCTGGGGTTGGATCTAGCTGGGTGACTTGGAGCGTGTTATTTAACCTCTCTAAACTCAAGGTTTTGGTTTGCATGGGGAAAGAGCAATCTCTACCTGGATGGTGACAGTGACAGGGAAGAAAGTTTAGCTGGGCTTGTAAGGGTCTGTGAAGATCTCACATCGGGGCAACAGCACATGGGTCAGCATCTGGAGGCCAAGGTCCTGCCGTGAACTGATTCTGTGGGGCAGTGGCCCCTAGGTATGCTCCTGAGGCTGGGGGTTCTGGAGGGGCTCAGGGACTGCCCTGTTTGTGAAACAATTCCAGAACAATTCTGTGGCACAGATGGAGGTGGGAGCACAGCCATTCTCCCTGAATCTGTGGTCTCCTGGTTTCTCTGTGGGATATTCTTTGAAGGGAGAGTCCTACAACTTGAGACAGGCCTGACGTCTCTGTTGTGGGTCTGGAAGGCAGGCCAAGGAGCCTGGCTTTGTGAGGCTGACAGTAGTGAAACTGTGGGGTTCCGTTGCCGAGATCCGTCTCCTCCATGACCATGTGGTAGTGGTGTATGCAGAAAAATGAGTTTCTTAGTAGTGGAGACTGACCTGACTAACCTTTTGCCAAAATCATGGCAGTAACTACCCAACCTGTTGGGAGCTGTGAACCTCCAGATCTTGAATTTCTTATAAACAACTTGTTTTCCTCTGTTCTGAGACAGCCTGTAGCTGCTCTGAGCACGAGACCCTCAGGAGTTCCTGATGGCCGAGGAGTGATTTCCGGTTGGTTTGGCTGGGGGCGTGGCTATCCCTATATAAGCTGCCCCTGAACACAATAAAGGGGGCATTCCTGTTTCAAGGATGACCCGTGTCTCTGTTGTGTGTCTTTGTGTGTTTAGATCTCCAGGCCCTTGCCTGAGGCTTGCGAGTGGTCCTGTAGTGCAGGCACTGCAATACAGGAGGAGTACCGTACTGTCACATGGTACAGGCGGGCGGTACACTAACCCTCTGTTCTACTGTTGAGCCAGTTCTCCAAAATACCTGTCTGCCATTCCACGAGCCAACCCTAGGTCTCCCTTGGCTGTGGCATAAAAATGAAATTCCTTTGGGGAACAGGAAGTCCAACACCCTATAGATTTTCTCTCTCTCCCTATCTCCCTCCCTCCCTCCCTCTCTCTCTTTCTTACTTTCTAACTTCTTTTTTATTTATTCTTCGTGTCTTTCACATCATGTATCACTCCATTCATTTCCTGTGCTTTCATATCTGCCTTCTGCCCTTGGGTCCAACTGCAAATAAAATTTTAAAAATTAAGAGACTAAAAGAATTAAAAAAGGAAAGATCTATCTCATTATGGAAGCTGTAGTGTGACAGTGAGTCATGCAGTCAACCCCTTTGTCCCTATGTCTTTACTTACAAGTGTTCATCGCAGAAAGTCATTGGTCTCATTCGAGGTCTCTGGTGTCTGCTTCATTATTGATGCTGGGCCCTTCCTGGGGCTCCTCTTGGATATGCTGTTGTTGCCCTGTGTCATGGAGATCCTGCAGCTTTGGGTCTGCAGGACCGACTCCTTCACATGCTTCAGCAGATCAGAGATGGGGTGGAGGTTGGGGTGGGCCAGCTCACAGCCCTGGTTCTGGTCCACCAGCTCGCCCTCGTTTTTAAGCCTACCTGCCACGTCATACCTATCTCTAGGCAGCTACTCCTTACAGGCCCCAGCGTTGTGTGTTTTACATCACCTTCTGGTCTTAGGATGCCCCTTCCTCCATCCTGCCACGTACACTCCCGAAACATGGTATTCCACATGCCTTTCTGCCCATGTTTGGCTCTGCACCCCTCACCCTGCCGTGTGAGTGCTGAAGGAACTAGCTACTCAACTCCTTCTCGGGTGGTTCTGCTGTCACCAGTCTCAGGTCTTACCCGATAGTGCTGGGCTGGTCATAACCCAAGGAGCCCACTGAGTTCAATCTGGTGGCACTTGTGGCAGCCTTTACTTCTCATAGGAGGATGAATTAATGCAATGCCACTTGTGAGCTGTCTACCCCTTTCCCTCAGCTCTGGGTTCCCAGATTAACCTGGGGACATCTTTGAGGTCACAGGACCAGAGCATCCTGGGGTCTTATGCAGCTCCTGCTTTTTCATCAGTGGCTCTAAGCCAGCCTTGACTGGAATGTTTAATGAATATCTTGAGAAATGTCAACACGCTGAGAATTGCTGCGCTTTTCATGACAGGAAAAGAAGTCCCATCCAACTGCCCCTAGAAGGCAATTTTATTTTCTAGACCTGTGGTTGAGCCTAGTCAACGGCTCCTGGGACAGGCATGGCAAGGCTGGAAGGACCATTCGAATCACAGGGGAGAGCGACAAGAGTCACTGCACAACTTGCAGCTAAAATGGGAGTGCCAGAGCTTTCTATTCTTCTGTCCAGGTCCCACACCCAGCCCCACTAACGCCATCAAGCGTCTGTCCTCTGTCACCTTTGTCCTTTGTCCGTCCTGTGTCACCTGCGAAAGACGTCTTTGCCTGACAGGTGCCGATGTGCCAGTGACATGAAGTTTCATAAGTCTTCTTCACTGACTTCCACTTTTGGGACACATGAACCGTGGTGCAGACGGCTTGGTTGATGTTCACAGATTGTCCCTGGGAAGCTGTCTTAGTTGGCAAGTATGGGTGTTCAGTGCTGCAGGCCCAGAAATCCGAGGAGCCCCCTATGTAGATGGGGTAACAGAGAAACCAAAACCCAGTGAAATGACTAGGAAATGATGCTTCTTCTTAGCTCTGGTGCAAACTGCTGTCACCTGGGGAGAAAGAGACCTGGTGGAAGAGAGGGGACTGATCTCTGCATGCTGGCTTAGCAGAAACAAGACCAACAGTAAAGATGGGTGGGGATGAGCCAGGTCATGAGGAACGATCAGTCCAGCTCTGGCCAAGAGATAAGAGAAAACTGGATTTGAACTCAGAAACTGTCCCAAAATTTGAGCAGGCACTCAGCTGTCTGGGAGCTACTGTGTGTTCTTTCTGGCACATCACTAAGCTGTGTTCCCAGATGGAAGCTTCTGGGAGGGGTGCCAGCGTGACACAGATGACCCAACCCTCATCAGAAGATGTCACAGAAGGACTACAGGAAAGGTCTAGCTTTGCCCTGGTATCATATACCTCATTTCCTGTGGCCATAAGTTTCCATGTTATGAGGTGATCTAGAAATCAAGAAGGAAGCCTACCATTATGAATAAGCAACTTTCTTCTCCACAGTACCTAGGGGCTCTTGTGTCCTTTTATTTCCTTTCTGTTCCTTTGTTTAATTCAAAACTCAGTGCAGGAACACACCTGTAAGAGTTGGCCATTTTATCTGAATGCTTTCCCATTGTCATCTGCCAACTGGGAATTCATTCACAGTGCTGGACAGGGATGACTAGGAAGGCATGGTGTGTATAGGTGTCTGTTGCAAATGTCTTTCTCAGCGTGCCTTTGTCTGGGACTGTCAGGGAGCTGCAGCTTCTTTAGCCCACGTGACCTTTGTCTTCTGTCAGTGAGTTGACTGACCTTGAATGAGTTAATTAGGTGTCACTACAGAACAGAAAGCAGGCGGTACCTGTTGAGAACTGTGGTCTCAGGATCCATAACATTTTGCAATGCTCCGCATAGCAGCAGGGATAGTCAGAAACTGGCTGGAGCATTTACAGCTTTGTTTAGCAATAGGTTGTTTGGGGCTGAAACCTTGTCTGACTTCTTCCACTCCGCTCTGAATGTGGTGTACCTCCTTTCCTGGTGTTGATGGACTACGAATTCTTCAGCGCATAAGAAATCCTTCACAGAGTAGCTCACAGGAAGCACTCAGAAGAGCTTAGGACCAAGGGACAGCATGGGTACCCACCTTCCAACTCGGTGATGTAATGCTGGGAATCAGGAAATGCTATCACTCTTACTAAAACAGCCTATCCTAAAAGCATCGTGAGCCAGCATTAAGTCCTTCCAGAGTAGCTCTAAGGACTGCAGACATGTGCAGTCTGTCTGACTGGACTAGTAAGTGGTTTGTATGTCTCAACTGTGTATAACCGGATGAGGACAAGTGTTCTTAGAGTATCTAAACCACATTCGGGGGAGGGGCGAGGGAGGAAGAGAGGCTTGGTCTGACCTAGGCTAGACCAGGCTTATTCATGGCGAGGGGGGCATCTTTGCCACCCACATGTGCAGATGGCCAAAGCGCCTACAGAGAGATGGTGGGATGTGGCCCTTTATGAAGGTGACAGTGACTTATGTAGTCCGCAAGGGAATCTGGGAAATGTAGTTTTTCAGCAGTAAAATGGATGACTCTGGGCAGCAAGCCTGAGGCAGTTTGACTCTCCCACAGCCCAGCACTCAGACTGTTATGAGATAGACAGACCCACGAATCTCCTGATGAGAAGTATAGGGCCCTGTCTCCCCTTACTCCCTGGGGTGAGTCTCTGAGGACAGTTCTGGTCAGCCAGCTAAAGCTTCCTGCTAATTCCTGTGCTCACTCTGCTGTAGCCTGGTTTATTTAGCTGTAGAGCACTGTTCATCTTTGGTATGGTAATTTCCCATCTGCCTGGGAGGGAGAATTCCTACATGGCCCAAGGTCTGCTCTCCGCCCCCTGCGTGGGGAGGAATCCCTACTGGCTGGGAGGGAATTCCTTTACTGGGGCCAAGGTATATTAGCTTGGCATTAAGCTGAATAAAGTGGCATTCGGTGATCTCTTGTCGAATGACTCTGGTCTCTTGGGTCTTTGTTCAATCTCCAGGCCTTTGCCCAAACTCGCGTAAGGTATGGAGGCGTGCAACCCGTACCGAGAAGGGTACCACAGAATCGGGTGTTACAGAGGAGTACATCTGTTTTCCTTCTCACAGACCTGGCCACGGGCTTTCTTTTCTAAGGCTGCGTTCACTCTGGGGGTCCCTCCTATCTAGGGGCAGCTTATCCTATCTGGAGAGGTTCATCTTCTTAGGCCAGTTTCCAGCATCCTAAGAGGCCATGTCTCCTGGTATATCTCATTCCTAGGGGTTAGGAGGAGCATGCATAGTTTACGGCCTTGAAGCTTTTGGTTAGACGTGCTCATCCAACATGGCTTTTAAGAGAAGGATGCAAGTCCTTGGAAGTTGCCAGTTGCAGAGGGTTCTAGAGACCTTAAAAGGGACTCCAGAGAATTCTGCATTCCAGTGAGAAAACAGCCTTAGGCTCCAAAGCTTCAGAGCATGAAGGACCGGATTCCACCACACTGACTCTGGTGACAATGTACGAGCCTCCACACT